TTGTGGTTAGGGACCTTGTTTTGTGGTCTTTTTGGTGCTTGTCCTAGTATTCATATAAAGATATCTTTTTAGACAACAAAATAAGTAAATAAACTCAATAATAAGGAAATATTATTTTTCTAAAGTCTGTTTTGTGGTCTACTTGGCGGTTTCCTCATTGTTCTTGTGTTAACCTTTTGTTGCATTTAATTTGTATTTGTTATATGTTAAATCTATTGGAAATTAGTTCACAGGGCCATGAAATAGCGTGGTTTATATAATTTAATACATACTTTTATTTCAAGAAAATATATAGGAAATTGTAAGTTGAAAAAATAGCATTAGAATTTAAGCTCAAAATTTTCACTAGCCTACTTGTTAAAAAATTCCTAATTCCGCCTTTACATGTGTAGGAGAATTTCTTATGTTCGTAATTGGAACTATAATAATGAGGACGAAGACCATGGCGAAGTTACGTAATAGTAGAAAGTGAGACATAATAATGAAAGACGCAAAGCACCGCCCTTTGTTTACTTTTTGGCGTAGACATGTCTATCAAATTTTCTTTTATTATTTTTCTCTTGCTGTCCTTACTGAATAACCAGGCAATGATGAGAAAACATACTGATGAAGGAAAGAAAAAGGAAGATCTCTGCCTTTTTATTTATTTATATAATGTATATGATATGTATCTTGGTTGAATAGAAAGGCAATATGTCTGGTGGAGGAATTAAAAATGTGGGAAATGTTTCTCTATTATCATCCATTGGTAGTACGAAAGGTCAGGTCCACAACAAATAGATCGTACCAAATCAATCTTGTTTCCTAATGGAAAAATGATGCTGACAGCGTAACAAAATGTTCCATTGGTCAGGCTACTTGCTTGGTGGTGGCGGTAGCCATCTTCGATAGCAAAGTTAAATTTGAGACTTACAACTCTGTGCCAAAAGGAAGAGAGAAACAAAATGTGAGTGGACACTTGCTAAAAAAATCAATGTCTTTGGTGACAAAAGGAGTGATCATTTTTCTTTCTTTTACGCGATCATAACATATCATATCATAATTGTTTTTTAACATACATAAATTATATAATAATAATGATATGCATCAACGATTGATAATCGTCCCGAAACGAAGAGAGCGAAGCACACTTCGAAATTGCTTTTTCATTGTGGAACGAGACTTCTGAACTTTTTTCACTGGTTGGGATGGGTGCAACCACCTTCTGAAAAGTGAAAAAGGAGGGGAGGGGGGCAGGCAGATGCTTCCTCTTTTCTTCTGGGCTGGGCTCTAAAGGTGGTGATGGGTTGACCCACCTACCATGGCGATAAATGGACCCAATAGCTTTTGTTTTTTATTTTTTCTAAATTATTGTAATTATTTTTTGGGTCAAGATTTCTAAATTATTGTCTAGGAAGGATAAAAAGATCAAAGCTACGTACAAGATTCTGCCGACTACATACATACAGGTTACATGAACCAATAGGAGTCTGCCGACCTACATACAGATTCCGATGAAAACTACGTGGCAGGAGCCGTCATATCAATGCAGTCACATCTTGCTGACCTTTATTGGGTGGATAACCGGTCGCGTTCAAAGTTTGACCTCGGCTGTAACCACACGTGGCAGTAAAAAGTGGGGCGGTGTTGTGCCCTTACGGTGAGGAGCAGCGTAGGGACCTCAGGATTTGCGGCGTCGACAGTCGCACGCTGGAAGCAATTCAACGCTCAACTCCACGTGTGGTCTAAACTCTTCTTCCCCCACCAACTGTTCGATAAAATGCGCCCAAATCAAACAATAATCACATCAACAATATTTCCCAAATCTGGTCTCTACGAATATCAGATCATGAAGCATCCATGTGAAGTTAAGAAATTCCGTGCAATCGAGCTCATATGCACATGGAGCTTGGCATTCTTCGTTTCCATGTCCCATAAGAAAAGACCCCTTTGAACAATGTCTGATAGTCTCATCATGGTTGGCCTATCTTCATTAATCTAAAATACAAAAGTTAAAAGTAACTTCTGTCTAAATCTTTTTTAAAAAGTATTTCTTAGTCTCACTCCCTCGTTGGGCCAAAGCCAAATAAATGACTTGGTTGCAGGTTCAATTTGGGTGATTAGGTTAATTTTGAGATAAGTAATGTCAAGAATACTGTGCGAGTGATTGTCGGCTGTTGATACAAGTGATTTCATAACAAATCAATGACTAAGAGCTACTTATGCTTACATAGGCAAGGTTAGGTGTTGCTCCTACTATTAAGGTTGCCTGCTTTAGTATGGCAGGTTGGGCCTTGCCATAAGGCAACCTTTAATGATTTTCTGACTAAGTCATTCTATAGTTAGAGACCATATCTCTTAATTGTTAGATTAAATTGATTAGCCGTTGGATCAAATTGGTTAGCATGATCCAACGGTTAAGAGATAAGGCATCACCTAAGGGCCATATATAAAGCCCTCACTATAGAATGACTCCAGCTCTTTGTTCTTCTCCTACAGGTATGGGCTCTTGTGCAAATTGGGCTCAACGGCATTTAGAATTAGATCAACTGGATCTTGGCCCTATTTAGTTAGGCTTCAGTGCAGAGCCTACCAGGAAAGAAACATCCATCCCTGCCAGATATGGACATATGATCCACATTAAGTTCTATACTTTCGATCTGCCAGAGCCTTTTTATTACCAGCTGTTCTTGCAGGAGCAATGCCCATCAATAAAATGATGAAATCTTTTCGAATCTCTTAAGATTATGAGCCGTCCAGTAGCTTGAGACACAAGCTTCATAAACTCATGGCAATCACCACAAACACGAATGTTCTTTATAATTCTTATTGGTATCCTTCCATGAGGTTTTTTGGTTAAACCAAATGCAAGAGCAAGTTTCTCACTGTGATAACAGATGGACTCAAATTTCTCCTCCTCCCCAACATCATGAAGAACCAGTTTTGTGTCAGGAGTAAACCCAGTTCCCTGCAGTTTCCTAATCAATGTGTTCAGCTCTTCATATATTTCTTTTGCTTCAGGATGAATTCGATCTTCTGATGCAAATTTGTGAACCTCGTTATCAATCTCAATCCAACTGTAAGCAGTAAACTTCTTAACATTCCTGTCCTTCATGAGAGACCTCATGTATGCCACATCTTTCCATCTTCCACAAGTAGCATACATGTTGGAAAGCATGATGTAAGGTCCAGCACTGAGTGGCTCCAATTCAAAGAGATGTCTAGCTGCCATCTCCCCGTGTTCGATATCGCCTGTCATTGCGCAAACAGATAGAAGAGTGGACCAAATCAAGCTATTCGGTTCATGGGGCATACTTCTGATAAGATCTACTGCTTTGTTTATGTAACCTGAATGACCAAGGAGACAGACCATACAGGCATAATGATCCATAGTGGGTTCCATACCACTTCGTTCACTAATTGAATCAAAATACTTCTGTCCTCGTTCAATCAAATTACCATGGACACAAGCTGATAAAACACCTATGAAAGTAACATTATTTGGAACTATGTTTTCTTGAAACATGTTCTCATAGAGGGCCAAGGCCTCTAGATCTTTCCCATTTTGTGCATAACCTGTAATCATCGCGTTCCAAGAAACCACATTCCGAAATGGCATTAGTGTGAAAACCACCCAAGCATCTGCAGTAACTCCACATTTGCAATACATATCAACAAGCGCACTAGACACGAGCAATTGATCAGCAACTCCCATATGAACTGCTTTTCCATGAACAACCTGGCCATAATACAAAGATGATAATTTGGCGCACGAACTAACTACGCTCGAGATGGTAAAACTATCAGGTCTGACATTTTCCAATAGCATCTCACCAAACAATATCAGAGCATCCTCTTCTCTGCCATTCTGTGCATAACCAACTATCATTGTTGTCCAACAAATCTTATCCTTCTCCCTAATCTCATCAAATACCTTCCTTGCTTCGACTATATTGCCGCTCTGAAAGTAAGCACGGAGAATATTTGACACCGTAACCTGGTCAGGCTTCAACCCTGACGATTGCATTTCATGAAACAAATCAATGCATTTCTCAGGCTGCCCATTTTTCAAGTAGCCGGAAATTATCAAGTTCCAAGACACCGCATTCTTGCCAGCCAACCAGTCAAACAACCAACGAGCCCGATCAATGTCACCACATTTGGCATACATATCGATCAACGCATTCCAAAGAAAAACATTCCCTTCCATATTACCTACAACTACTCTCCCATGAATTTGCTTCCCAAGCCTAAAACCTAGCAACCTGGTGCACGCATTTAACACGCTCACAAATGTATGCTCTGACGGCTCAAACCCTTCCTCTTGCATTTTAACAAAAACCTCAAACGCCTTGCCCCAACACCCATTTGCCGTCGCACCAGCAATCACGGTATTGTAGGAGACCAAATCGCGAGAAGGCATCTGATCGAAGATTGTCCCCAACTCCTCAACAGACCCAGATTTTGCATAAGCAGAAAGCATGGCGTTCCATGAGTAAACGTCTTTCTTGGGCATTTTGTCAAACAGGTCTCGAGCGTCACCAAGGTTCCCGGATTTGGCATAGAGCTGGAGGATCCTATTATGGAGGAAAGTCTTGGTGGGCTGAAACAAGTGAAGGTCCATGTGAGATTGCAGTCTCTTTGCTTGGGAAACATCGTCGGCTCGTACGCATTCGAGCACAAGCCGCGTGTAGGTCTCAGCGGTGGCGCAGCCGCGAGAGTACAACAAGTCTACGGCGTCGCGAAGCTGACGCCTAGCTTTCATATTTCCCGTTTGATTTTTTTTTTTTTTGGGGTGGAATTTCCCGTTTGAATTTGAATGACAGTTTTCCGTTATATGGGCCTCGGCCTTGCCCACGTCTCAAACTACGTGGCGGCAAAAATCGGATAAAAAAAGAGTAGAGGACCCACACAGATGAAAGTGAAGCTACTTTAGGTTCATGCCTTTGGGCCCGAAGAGGCCCTTGTCTTCAGGCCCATTTTCCAACTCCCAAACAAGAAATGAGCCCAGAACTTGATGAAACGACGACGTCTTGTCATATTATAACCTTGCGCCGGCTCTGAATCGTCGTCTAGGGCGCTGAATGGTGTTCTGTTTTCGTTGATCGCATGGAAAAAGCCCTGTTAAACTCTGCGGTAATTCTTATTGATCATATTTTGCGAAATTAATTTTCAATAGTTTTTGTGGTCCTAGATTATCTGCGCTTCGATTTTGTATTCCCTAATTGCTAGGTTTGGTTCATATACTTCAATCTGATTGTTAAATTATTTAGAAATTTAATTCAATGGTGTTGAATTGTGGATATTAGAATTGGATAAGCATAGTAATTTTGTTTGGTTCCTGTAATTTACGGTTCATGTTTGGAAGAAAAACTAAAGTAGAACACTTTGGTTCTTGCTGTGTTTGGTTTGGTCCTATAGAAGGATAGAAAAAATAAGTTGGGAATGTTGGTCCTGTGAACAACAAAAAATTAGCAAAGTATCAGTCCTTTAATTTTGAAAATTGGGAATGTTGTTCCCAATTTCAAGATTTGGATCACCTTTTTTCAATTTCATTAGCATGATCATGTAGTTATTGATAGTTTTCAGATGACCTCTGGGATCTGGTATGGATAATGTAGTTTCAAAATGTTTGATGAAACCAACAAGTGATTCCTAGGATAGTTTTCGGATGGCATCTGGGCTCTGTTGTATATGGTTTCTTTCCTTGACTTGGTGAAGGTCTATTTGGCATCACCATATCAGCATAACTGCTGTAAAAAAAAAAAACTTCGAAGAACACAAACGCTAGCTTGCAGCTGAGAAAACGTAAATTTAAGTTCTGCACATGTTTTATCCTTTACATCTTGAGGCTTTTCTTACTATGTTTGCTTGATTCATGCGATGCAAATGAGCTGCCATATGTGGATCGTTTTCATTTTGTACCTTCATAACAATCTGCCTCTGTGTTTTTCATCTCATTCTTTGTTAATGTGTATCGGTTACTCGTTTGTTGTATTCGGTACATTATGGTGTGCTTCTGAGGATCATTTCTATGCCCATTGCGATTTATGACATTAGTCTGCGTTTGATGACTCGATGTTTGATTTCACCACACTGGTTTTCTTGTGTAGTTGGAATGTTTCAGATTGCTCTGGAGCCACCATGGTGCATTCTTGTTTTATTGCTGTTTTCTGAGGTGGAAATCTGCTTGAAGCAAAGTTTTTCATATCTTTACGTTATCTTTCATAAATATAAAACATGAAGAAAAAACAATATTTTGAGCAAAAAATTTGACAATGTATATCAATATGGACCAGATGAGAAATGGTTTTCTTTTCCAAACAAGCGGAGAAGCTTAAAATTGAGTTTCTGAATGAACAAACGCTGCCAGAATGGTAAAAGGGGATGCTTTTATTTTTTGTCAACTTTTAGCGGCGGTTTTCCGGCTTGTTGATAAAACAATTATTTTCGGCGGTTAGCGACGAAATAAAACGTCTCTAAAGATGGTTAACCAAATTGAGACCCTAAAGTCGTCACCAAAGGCCTGGAAAACGCCGCCAAATGTCGCAAAATGTGGAAAATCGTCATTTAAACAAAATAAAGCTACTTTTCTGCTGAATTAAGTGTTTCTCCTTCTGTATTTGGATGTTGATTTAATTTCCATCCCTTCAAATACTACAAGCAATCTATTAAACCAAGTAGAATATACTTTATTTATCATTTGTTCAATATTAATTTATATCTACAATTGGGACGGAGCATTGTTCTTCTAAGTTATAAAGTAACTTGTAAACCTTGATATCCTGCAAGTAATATGATTGATTTTATGTTCATATACTTAAGACTCGACTATTTCTTAATTCCTTAGCTATGCTAAGTTCTAAAGACTTGAGTTTAGTCTTGAAGCCATTGTCTTCTGGAGGAGGAAATTCAGCTGGGCTCCGACGCGTAATCAACGCCGTGACTGTTCGTCCACATGACCACTTATTTATTGGTTGACAAGTGATGGCAATGTCTTAACAAATACAATCACACAAACAAATACTAATACATTGATATGAAAAAGAAGGCCGTTCTTCTATTGACGTGCAGAAGTGTTCCAAATGGAAAAAAATGCTCCCATTGCCAATACGATAAAGCCAGGCAAATGCCAGTGCAGGCCTGCCTCAGACTCAGAGTCAGAGAGATGGCATTCACTTTCAGAGTTGGACTTGTCCCTTGTGGGAACAATATTTAAGATAGCATACAAGTTTGATTGTTTACTAATTTCGTATAATAATAATGAGGGTCGGGAAATTATGCATAAAACCCGTTAGAAATAAATTTATTTTTATCCTGTGTAAATATTTCCTCTATATTTTTTAGCTTTTTTTTACTCCACTTTTGGAGTTTTGGTAGATTTGAAGCAGTGCTTGTGAGATCAGCAGAGCAATTCATTTGACCCGTGACCTCCCAACTAACAAGCAAATTGGTGTCAATCCATAAGGTTGAAGAGTTAAATAGAAAAGGCGTTGGTAGGTTATATTCCATTTTCTTTGCTTCATAAGTGAGATATCATATGGGAATTAGGTGGGTTGGAATTGGATGGAAAGGGACATTAAAAGCATTCACCTTTGTTGGCTGAACTAACCTAACTATAGAGCAGCATGCATCATCATCAAAGCAGACCAGACGTTCATTTCTGCACTTTTGTTTTTGTTTTTAAATTTTTTTCTTTCCTGGTTGCCTCCATTTTGGTCAGGGATAGGACGATTACCAGACTTATTTTAAGCTTTGCAAGGACATAAAACCTAATAAACTAGAACAACCTGGAAGTTTGGAAGTGGTAACAGGTTAGGGAAACAACATGGTACCACCCAGTGGCATGTCCCCAATCTTGGGTTTCTGTGGGCTCAACTTTAAACATAAACCATCAAGAAAAAAAGGGTCGTCCAAAGTGACTGTTATTTCTTTCCCTTTTTTTTGGCTGGCTTGGATAAAGAAGCAAATTTGGAGAAATATAAAAAGAAATATAAAAAGCAATATAAAAAGCAATATAAAGTTCCAAGTAAGAGGCTTCTTGTTGTACAAAATCGATTAAATTAATGAAGGCATTGGAAGCCAAGCAAGGTAGCAAACGGATAAGAAGGCTGAAATGGATGGTAACAAAGAGGCCCATCGTCATGTTCATGATTCATTAATTTTATATTGTTTATACACACCAGAAAGAAAGAAAACGTCTTTTTCATCCATCTCAGATTCTCTGAAAAAAAAAAAAAAACATGAAAACACAAGAAAAACAAGTAAATTCCAATTCCTACGCGCCCAGACTCTTTGACTCAGTGTGCCTTCTCCTGCTTAAAACAAGTTGGAAAATCCCATACAAGTCTGGCATACATATATTAAGACCAAATCTAACTCCCTCCATTCAATTGTTAATGTTTTTGTTTTCAAAGACTTGAGCTTTTTTCTCTCCTTCCAAAAGAAGTAGAGATCACACCGATCACCCAGCCAACCCTCCTTCTTCCCCTTTCATAATTCAATTCAAAATCAAACCCATTAAATCTCTCTCTCTCTCTCTCTCTCTCTCTCTCTCTCTGTATGTGTGCGTGAAATTCAGTACCTTTTTCGATGTCACTCTACACCATCATGGCTTCCTTCAAAGTCAAGCAAGAATAACAGAAAACGAAGGCCCTACAGAGCAGGACCATCACTAACCCACAAAGCCTTTTCCTTTCCCCCATACGCGCAAACCCAAAATGGCTCAGATTCTCAGAGACAGAGTATTTGGAAATTCAAAGAGACACAGCCAACGCCATAATCCAATCCAAACCACCATGCCCGTATACCCAGTTGAAGACCTCCCCAACCCATTTGGCGAACTGGGTCCGAACCTCTCCGACTCGGAGCTCCGAGAAACCGTCTACGAGATCTTAGTCGGAGCCTGCCGGAGCTCTGGAGCCAAACCGCTTACTTACATCCCGCAGTCCGAGAAGACCGACCGGACTACTCTGACTTCGTTGCCATCATCGCTTCAGAGGTCGACGTCATCGGCGGCTAGCCGGGTCAAGAAGGCTCTGGGTTTGAAGCAAACGGCATCGTCTAGGAGGAGACTCGGTGATGGTGATTCAGTGAGTCAGGGGAAGACTAAGCGGTCTGGGACGGTTTGGGAGCTTATGAGGGTTCAGATGAGGGTTTCGGAGCAGACTGATACCAGGGTCAGGAGAGCCCTTTTAAGGGTTGCTGCTGGTCAGGTTTGTGAATTGTGATGTGAAACACTCTGTTTTTTTAATTGTGCTGCTGGTTTGTATTTTATGGATGCTGCTTGTGCTTGGTTTCTCAGAAAATAATAGAATAGGAAGGAAATTGAAGTTCTGAATGATAGGGAAGTCAGCTTTTGAGGGGTAGCAGAAATTAAAGAGGAAATGAATTGTAAATGTTTATTGATTACTATTCTGATGTTTAGTGGTGAAGGAATCAAATTTTGGTTTTATTTCTTTGATCACTTCTTAATCATTGTGAATTTTGGCATTTCTAGACATGTTTATTTCTTAGTTAGTTATGCCTGGATTATGTTTACTGTTTCTCAAAGTCTCAAGTTTTGTTAGCCTGAATAGAGGACAAGGATATGAGTTGAATGCGTGGTTTTTGGCTGTTTGTGTTTTCTAAATCAAGCTTAGTGAATTGTTGGTCTTTGTTTCTTTGTATTAGCTTGGAAAGCGTATAGAGTGCATGGTTTTGCCGCTTGAGCTACTACAGCAGTTCAAGTCTTCAGATTTTCCCAGTCAGCAAGAATATGAAGCCTGGCAGAGGAGAAATTTGAAGGTTCTTGAAGCAGGGCTTCTTTTATATCCTTCTTTGCCTTTAGATAAGAAAGACACTGCTCCTCAACAGCTCCAGAAGATTATTCGTGGGGCCTTAGAGAAACCCATAGAAACTGGAAAGCACAATGAGTCGATGCAAGTTCTCTGCAGTGTTGTTATGTCTCTTGCTTGCAGATCATTTGATGGTTCTGTTTCTGACACATGCCACTGGGCAGATGGATTTCCATTGAACCTTAGGCTCTACCAAATGCTCCTAGAATCATGTTTTGACCCGAATGAAGAAACGTCTGTTATTGAAGAGCTTGATGAGGTTTTAGACCTCATAAAGAAGACCTGGCCAGTCCTCGGAATAAACCAAATTCTGCATAATCTTTGTTTCTCATGGGTTTTATTTCATCGTTATATTACAACTGGTCAAGTGGATAATGACCTGCTGTTTGCATCCAGTAACCTGTTAGAGGAAGTTGAACAAGATGCCAGTGGCACAAAAGATCCATCTTATTTGAAGATCTTAAGTTCAACATTGAGTTCAATATTGGGTTGGGCTGAGAAAAGGCTTCTTGCCTACCGTGATATTTTCCACAGTGGCAATATTGAATCAATGCAAAACGTTCTCTCCCTGGGGTTATTGTCAGCAAAAATATTGATAGAAGATATTTCTCACGAGTACCGTAGGAAGAGGAAAGGAGTTAATGTGGCTCATGACAGGGTTGATGCTTACATAAGATCATCAATGCGCTCTGCTTTTGCACAGGCAAGTTCCCATATTATTTTTTTGCTGTGATTAATGAAGAGGCCGTAAATAATGTGTTTTGTGCTAGGAAATATTCTGTTTATGTCTGTTGCTTATAGAGGATTTGTTGGAAAATCAAGGTGGTGAACTTTACCTATATAAATTTTAATAATTTTTGTTCCCAGTTCATACTTATATATTACCAACCTGGCTTTCTGTTTTGGCTATAAAATGTACTTATCAAGTTTTGAATGTTGTATTAAGGCAGAAACTGGAAAAGTTAGGTTCCAGCAAGCGTTTGTCAAAGAGCCAAAACAATCTTATTCCTGGCCTTTCTGCCCTTGCACAAGATGTTAGTGAACTGGCTTTTAGTGAGAAGGGGATATTTGGTCCAGTATTGAAGAGATGGCACCCTTTTGCAACAGGCGTTGCTGTGGCCACACTGCATTCTTGTTATGGAAATGAGCTGAAGCAATTTGTGACGGGTATCAGTGAGTTGACTCCAGATACCATACAAGTGCTGAGAGCTGCTGACAAATTGGAGAAGGATCTTGTGCAGATTGCCGTTGAAGATTCAGTGGATAGTGAGGATGGTGGGAAATCCATCATAAGGGAGATGCCTCCTTATGAGGCTGAAGCTGTAATTGCCAATCTGGTAAAGGCTTGGATAAGGACAAGAGTGGACAGGCTGAAGGAATGGGTTGACAGAAATCTGCAACAAGAGGTACATATTTTCTGTTTCAACAAACAAAGGGTTAATGATCAACAGATACAAGTGTCTGTGCTTGC